CCGGGACACTAGAGCCCCCCCCACTTTTGCCCCCCCCCCCGCAAGCACCAAGAATACAGAACATCCCTTGCCCCAGACCAGGAGTTCCTATCTATACCTTGTGGCTAATAGCCCCTGATGGACCTCAGCTCTTAACGTAAGAACATAAGAGACGCCAATGTTGGATCAGGCCAGTGGCCCATCCAGTCCAACACTCTGGGTCACACAGTGGCCAAAAATACCACCAGTGGCCATCAGGAGGTCTGGCAGTGGGGCCAGGACCTCACAAACACTCATCTATGGTTTTATTTTTCAAGCCTGCCCCCATCCCGAGGGCTTCCCCACTGTTTCCAGCCAATGGGTGGCGTATGTTTATTTTGCATCACACCCTAACCTTTAAGCATTCAAGGCAAATAACTTGCTTCATAAGCACAAAAAAAAATTTGTTTTAATTTTGCAAAGGAATACGCTCGTTGCAGGAAGAAGGCTCAAAACCACAAGGGCTAGTGCCGGAAGAAAAACACGCCAGGCTCCACGTAAAAGCAATGCTGGTGAAACAGAAGCCAATGACAGCCTCCTTCCATATGTCCCTGTGTGCCAGCTACGGTCACCAGGCAGCCGTCTGTTCACTACCCCACCACTTATGGTGCCCGTCTGGCATCGGCCAGAGCCCGGGCCTTTTCCATGGGGGCTCCATGGGGGGGGGGGGGCTTTTTGGAGTGCTTCAGAAGGCGCTGCAAGGCCTGCCTGTCTGCCAGGGCTTTGGAGGGAGTCTGAATGGGCAGGCATCTTTTCAGGGGGCAAGAGACTTAGGCAGGGGTCATTTTGTAGAAAAAGAGGTGCAGGAGCTCATTCGCATAACTTATTAGCATAACTTATTTTCATATGCCACACACCCCTGACATCACCGGAAGTGTGTCAGAAGGCAACACCCACCGCTCAGGCTCCACTGGACTGTTTCGGATTGCCAGCTATGGGGGGGAGACGGGGACGTGCAGATCTGTCCTCGCAGAGGAGGGAGAGCTTGTACCTGAATAAAACTTGGTCTTAAAGGTGCCACTAGACTGTTTTGGCCCGGGGGGCCGGGGGGGCTCTGCAACGTACCTGGCTGCTTCTTGCTCTGACTGAGGGCTGCTGGGAGCAGGGGGTGGGGCTTATTGCATGTGCCCTCCCCCTGGGCTCTTTACTGCCAGAGCTCTGCTCCTGTGCGCTCCTGCAGGAAATGACCCCTGGTTAGGGCTTTGTGATTATTTTTGGTTTTAGCTGGGGATGTTTCCACTATTACCGTAAGCCACCTTGAACCAAGAGGACAGGTGGGATAGAAATATTTGAAGCAATAAATGAACAGATGCTACAGGGGTGCGGTGCCTCACCTGGACAGAGTTTCTGCCTCACTGGCTTCACATAAAAAAAGAAAAGAAAAATCATGCCTAGGTCTTTATGGCAGGGTTCCCCAGCCTTTCTGAGCCTGTGGGCACCTTTGGAATTCTAACATGGCACAATTGGCGCAGCCACAGGCAACGCTCCCTCTAAGCGGTGGAGTCCTGTGAGGCAAAATTCTTCTTTGTGAGCTAGTGGCCTTAAAGTTGTGAGCGAGTTATTTGGTAACTGCATCAACTAGTTTGCTCTGGAGTCATCCTTTCTGAGCTAAGACGAAAAATGTGTGAGCTGGAGGCTAAAAAACTGTGAGCTAGCTCACACTAACTCAGCTTAGAGGGAACACTGGCCACAGGAGCAGCCACAAAATGGATGCCGCAGCTGACTTTCAGTCACACAGTTGAAGAACCTCGTGCTGAGGGTGGCAAAGGCTGCCAAAACGAGTGTTTTTAAAAATCTGCACAACCAATCAACTCTCCAATGGCCGGCCAGAAGCTCTGCTGGGGAAAAGCCCTACCCGCTTTCTAAAGGCACTTGGCAGGCGCCAGGAAAGGTGTCGGCAGACTCCGTGGTGCCCGTGGCCGCCACGTTGGGGACCCCTGCTTTAAGGGATCAGAAGACTCAAAAGCTCAGCGTCTGAGAAAGCAAACTGGACGGGGGAGGAAACAACGCAACAGCACATCCACACAGAGGGTCAGTGTCCAATCTGATGGGGAGTAAGCTACGTCCCCCAAATTGACAGTATTCTTCAGATCGCCCTGAGCCCGCTTTTGTGGGGCGGGCGGGCTATACATCGAAATAAATAATAATAATAATAATAATCGGCACACAACCCCACCCCCACTGTCAGACTCCTGCAGCAATCAGGCCCAACAACTCTTTTCTACAGAAGTGACGTTTATTGGTACAGTATCGGCGGAACATCTACATTCCGGGATCTGTGTTAAGACTAACGGGAAAAGCACAGGGATGGGAGATATACTGGGTTCAAAGGGGTAGTGTGATGGCCTGCAGCCAATCAAGGAATTAGGAGGAGCCTGCCCAAAGTAACTGGGCCCGGCAAACGGAAGAGTTCTCAGGGAATGTGTTACAGCTAGGCACTCAAGGTCAGGCAGGTAACATACACAGATAACAGAGTATTCTCAGGCAGTAAGAACCGAAAGTTAAAATACCAGGCAGGGGTCCTCCTCCCCAGGGGTCATCTTGTAGAAAAAGAGGTGCAGGAGCTCATTAGCATAGCTCGTTTGCATAGGCCACACCCCCTGACATCACCGGAAGTGTGTCAGAAGGCAACACCCACCGCTCAGGCTCCACTGGACTGTTTTGGATGGCTAGCTATTGGGGGGAGGGGGGAGAATGTGCAGATCTGTCCTCGCAGAGGAGGGAGAGCTTGTACCTGAAAAAAACTTGGTCTTCAAGGTGCCACTGGACTGTTTTGGGCCAGGGGGCTCTGCAACGTACCTGGCTGCTTCTTGCTCTGACTGAGGGCTGCTGGGAGCAGGGGGTGGGGCTTGTTGCATGTGCCCTCCCCCTGGGCTCTTTACTGCCGGAGCTCCGCTCCTGTGCGCTCCTGCACGAAATGACCCCTGCTCCTCCCTATATGTCAGCTCCCTGACACCCACCATGCTCAGTGAAGTCAAGGTCTAGCCCCACCGCTGGACCTCCTGATGGCACCTGGTATTTTTGGCCACTGTGTGACACAGAGTTTTGGACGGGATGGGGCCACTGGCCGGATCCAACATGGCTTCTCTTATGTCCTTAGGGCTGCCGCAGAAGCCCGCCCCCTCTCCCCCCCCTGCCTACCAAGCAGTCCCTCTGCAGGGTCTTGCACAGGGCGCTGTACATGTCGGCGTCCAGGAAGAGGCCGTCCTGCGTGTCCTGCATGAAGTCCAGGTCCTTGTAGGTGGGGAAGACCTTCTCGCGCTCCTTCTGGGACGCCCGGCGCTTGTAGGTGGAGCCCTTCAGGTCGTACTTCTGGTGCATCCGGACGGAGCGGGGCAGGAGGTTGTTCATCACCACGATCCGGATGTTCTTGCCTCCCGCCTGCACGCAGTACAGCCCGTAGAACTTGGGCAGCAGCGTCCGGGGGTTCTGGTTCAAGTTCTGCAAGGGAAGAAGAAGAAGAGTTCCTGCTGTGTGCCTTTTTTGGGAGAGGGACTGGAGAAGTTATTCCTTCCTGACCTTGGATAAGAGCTTTAGGCAGCCTCCCAAGTTGTCTGGAAGGAAATGCCAAGTAACACACCGCCACTCTGATCACTGATGTACACATGAAGCTGCCTTATACTGAATCAGACGCCCCTGGGTCCATCAAGGTCAGTGTTGTCGACTCAGACTGGCAGCCGCTCTCCAGGGTCTCAGGCGGAGATCTTTCCCGTCACCTCCTGCCTGGTCCTTTTTAACTGGAGATGCCGCGGATTGAACCTGGGATCTCCTGCATGCCAAGCAGATTTGCTACCACTGAGCCACGGTCCCTCTTTACAGCTCTCCAGGGTCTCAGGCGGAGGTCTTTCCCATCACCTCCTGCCTGGTCCTTTCTAACTGGAGATGCCGGTGACTGAACCTGGGACCTCCTGCACGCCAAACAGAGGCTCTGCCACTGAGCCACAGCCCCTCTTTACAGCTCTTCAGGGTCTCAGGCTGAGGGTCTTTCCCATCACCTCCTGCCTGGTCCTTTTTAACTGGAGATGCCGGGGACTGAACCTGGGACCTCCTGCATGCCAAGCAGAGGCTCTGCCACTGAGCCACAGCCCCTCTTTATAGCTCTCCAGGGTCTCAGGTGGAGGTCTTTCCCATCACCTCCCAAAGAGGGAAGATGCAGCCAGGGCTCTTTTCAGCCACGCCCCCTCCCCCCTGCACGACTCACCATATAGTAGCCCGGCAGTAGCTTCTGCAAGAACTCGGCTTCTTTGTGCTGGACCGTTTTGATGATGAACTCGTCATCGCTGGAGACGTAGAAGATGGAGCCGCTGGCCCCGGAGTTGGAGAGCTCGATGAGGGGCTCGCTACACAGGGAGCACTTGTTGGGGGGGGGGGGGAGAAAGAAGGGGAAGACACAGTGGTGAGGGCAGGACGTAAGAAGCGGCCCAGTGCCAAAATGAGCCGAAGCTCCCACTGTGGCGGGTCCCCGTGCAGAGCGGCGGGCAACGTCCTAAACAGCTGCCATTCGAGGAAAACATCTCGTTTATTTTATTAAAATATTTCATATCCTGCCTTTCCTCTTGATACGAGGCGGCTTACGACACAAGTTAAAAGCCATTTTCAGTTGAAACCAGAGATAAAACAGCCAGCCCCAAATCCCTTCCCCCTCCCCTCTTAAAAGATGGCCATCATTCAACCCCCCCTCCTCTGAAGGCCTGGCGAACAGGCAGGCCTTGTGGCTCCAAAAGGTTGGGGACCCCCCCTGCCTTAAAGGTTTAAGGCTTGATTTTCTTTTTTTGATGTCAAGCCGGCGAGGCCGAACCTCTGTCCAGGTGAGGCACCGCACCCCTGCAGCATCTGTGTATTTATTTATTCAGACATTCGGATCCCGCCTTTCCTCTTGCTTTCAAGAATAGTTAAAACATTCCCAACTAAAAGCAAAAAAAATAAAACAACAAACCCCCTAGCCTCTCACCCCCTGAAAAGATGACTGCCCATTCAAACTCCCCCCAAAGCCCCGACAAACAGGCAGCCCTCGCAGCGCTTTCTGAAGACCTCTGAGGAGTTCTTCCCCCTAACCTCTTCAGGGAGTCCCTTCCACAGAGCTGGAGCCAGTGTTCCCTCTAAGCTGAGTTAGTGTGAGCTAGCTCACAGTTTTTTAGCCTTCGGCTCACACATCTTTGTCTTATTAGTTGCTGTAGATCTTCCGGGTTGTGTGGCCGTGGTCTTGGCATTGTAGGACCTGACGTTTCGCCAGCAGCTGTGACTGGCATCATCAGAGGTAGAACACAGAAAGGTGGAGGACTCTCTGTGTCAAGGTGTACTCACTGTGTCAAGGTACTCCCAAGGTACTGGCATCCTCAGTGGTATAACAAAGAAAGATGGAGTACTCTCTGTGTCTGAGATTCTGCCACTGAGCTACAGCCCCTCCCTGCCCTTGGTCTATGAAGACCAGGATTGCCTACACAGACTGGCAGTGGTTCTCCGGGGTCTCAGGCAGAGGTCTTTCTCATCACCTCCTGCCTGGTCCTTTGAACTGGAGGTGCCGGAGATTGAAGCTGGGACCTTCTGCATGCCAAGCAGAGGCTCTGCCACTGAGTCATGGCCCCTCTTTACAGCTCTCCAGGGTCTCAGATGGAGGTCTTTCCCATCCCCTACTGCCTGGTCCTTTTAACTGGAGATGCTGGGGATTGAACCTGGGACCTCCTGCATGCCAAGCAGAGGCTCTGCCATTGAGCCACAGCCCCTCTTTACAGCTCTCCAGGGTCTCAGGCGGAGGCCTTTCCCATCACCTCCTCCCTAGTCCTTTCAACTGGAGATGCACGGGATGGAACCTGAGACCTTCTGCATGCCAGGCAGATGCTCTGCCACTGAGCATTGGCCCCTCTACATGACTCTCCAGGTTCTCAGGTGGAGTTCTTTCCCATCACCTACTGCCCCGTCCTTTGAACTGGAGATGCCGGGGACTGAACCTGGGGCCTTCTGCATGCCAAGCAGAGACTCTGCCACTGAGCCACAGCCGCTCCCCTAATCACTACCAATAACAAGATAGAGGCCAAGGACTCAGAGAAAACAACAGAGGTGCATAGTCAGGGGAGGCACTCCTGGAACTGGGGCGACGCCAGAAGGGACACAGGAAGCCCCCGGATGCAGCTCTAGCAGCCTCTTGTTACTGTTGCTCTAGCTCAGGAAAGCAAGATGCTCTCCATCCCAGGGGTGTGTGTGTGTGTGTGTGTGTGTCAAGGCCTATGTGGTTAGGGCATCTGAGCAGGAGTTTAGGGTGTGCATGTGAGAGATGGCAATCAAAGAAGAGGGAAAAGCAAATGGAAAGCAGACTCCACTCCAACGATGCAACAATGGCTGCACAAAGTCTGGGATTTTTTCTTACAAGAGAAAATCTCGGTCTGGACAAGTAATAAAGATGCTGAACAACAGCTGCTCAACCCCATGGACAAATGGTACCCTGTATTAGAGAAAATGAACATAGACAAATTTGACTGGGAACAAATAAGGAAACCAAAATATGAAGGGCTATTGTTCGGCTGATGGTGTAATCTATTGGCAACAGGGATAGACAATAGGCCGCATCCACTAAGTCAATTATGAATGTAAGCCTATTCAGTATACATCTATTTTATATAGATACTGGGTATGTTGTTAAGAGTTCATGTGTCTTCTGTAATGATTTGTTTTATAATAAGGGTATTAAAATTATTTTTTAAAAAAATCAAAGAAGAGGGAAACCACCACAGTCCAGAGAACCACGACGCAAAGTGGAGAAGATGGAAAGGCTCCCAGCTAATTCTGTTTCATTACGTGCTTCTCCTTGCGAACTATTCCAGATCGGGCAGGGTGGAAAACCAACCCAAACGGAGCCAGGCAGCGGGTGCTCTGGGCCCCAGGAATAAAGGTTTCCTCTCCGACACCTACCCTATGGAGCCACAAATTAGAGCAGATGGCCTCAGCCTCTTTGAGCCAATGGGCACCGCTGGAATTCTGCCACGGTGTGGTGGTCGTGGCCGCAAAATGGCTGTTATGAAACGGCTGCCGTGGGACGTGGAGCCAGCCACAAAATGGCTGCCACAGTGAAGATCTTTCTAATCTAATAGCCTGAGCTAATTGCTGTATGCTTTTTAAACGATAAATATTCAAATATCAATTCTTAGTGGGCTTTTTGTTTTTGTATTATGAAATATTCGTAAGTATTCTAATATCCAATTCTCTATTATTTCGTACAGATGGAGCAGAGGTCCATCAGTGGCTATCAGTCACAAGGTACAGAAAGGAACTCTGGGGCAAGTGATGCTCTGTATTCTTGGTGCTTGGGGGGGGCAAGAGTGGGAGGGCTTCTGGAGTTCTGGCCCCACTGCTGGACCTCCTGATAGCCCCTGGTATTTTTGGCCACTGTGTGACACAGAGTGTTGGACTGGATGGGCCATTGGCCTGATTCAACATTGACTTCTCTTATGTCTGGGGGAGTGATGCTCTGTATTCTTGCTGCTTGGGGGGGGCAAGAATGGGAGGGCTTCTGGAGTTCTGGCCCCACTGGTGGACCTCCTGATGGTCCTTGGGTTTTGGCCACTGTGTGACACAAAATGTTGGACTGGAGGGGCCACTGGCTCTCAGTCTGGGGCAAGTGATGCTCTGTATTCTTGGTGCTTGGGGGGGGCAATAGTGGGAGGGCTTCTAGTGTCCTGGCCCCACTGCTGGACCCTGGTATTTTTGGCCACCGTGTGACACAGAGTGTTGGACTGGATGGGCCATTGGCCTGATCCAACATTGACTTCTCTCTTATGTTCTTATACATAGACAATGGGGAAAAAACCACAATAACATAAACCAATCACAAGATAGCAAGCTCATGGATTACAAGACTGGGGGTGTGTATTTACAAAGTCATCGAAGTTAAAAAAGAAGAAGAAGAAGTTCTTTTTAAACAATGGTATCAATAAAGATATAGAACTTGAACGATCAATATTTTCAAAAGCCGTGAAACAGCCAATGTGTGCTGAAATGAGCTTAGCAAGGCTTTGAACGCCACAATAGGTCCACACAGGTGTGGCAATCCTTAAAACTCTTTAAATCTCCAGTGGCCAATCGAAAGCATCACCAGGCAACCCCCCCCCCCAACTCTCCCCACTCACTTTCTAAAGACACTTGGCGGATGCTGGGAAAGGCATCAGTGGGTGTTGTGGAATCTACAGGCTCTTGGAAAAAGTGCAGAAAAGGGCAACTAGAATGATAAAAGGGGTGGAACACTTTCCCTGTGAAGAAAGGTTAGCTTGGAGATAACGACGGCTGAGGGGTGACATGATTGAGGTTTACAAGATTATGCATGGGACAGAGCCGGTAGAGAAAGAGGTACTTTTCTCCCTTTCTCACAATACAAGAACTCGTGGGCACTCCATGAAATTGCTGAGCGGTCAGGTTAGAACGGATAAAAGGAAGTCCTTCTTCACCCAAAGAGTGATTGACTGCCACAGGAGGTGGCGGCAGCTACAAGCACGGACGGCTTCAAGAGGGGGTATTGGATAATAAACCTAAGGAGCAGAGGTCCATCAGTAGCTATTAGCCACAAGACAGAGATAGGAACTCTCGGTCTGGGGCAAGGGATGCTCTGTATTCTTGGTGGTTGGGGGGGGGGGCAACAGTGGGAGGGCTTCTAGTGTCCTGGCCCCACTGCTGGACCTCCTGAGGGCACCTGGTGTTTTTGGCCACTGTGTGACACAGAGTGTTGGGCTGGATGGGCCATTGGCCCCTGATACAACAGTGGCTTCTCTTATGTTCCTAAGGTCAGCAAGCATGAAGACGTACAGGCAGGAATCCTGCCGACTCCCTACCAGGCCCAGAGAGGGCAGGAACAGCCGTGGTGGAAACAGGGGAAAGCAAAAGAGAGGCTCGTCTGCCAGTGACCGCCCTTCCCAGGCTAGTAATCAATCGGTCCTGGTTGAGAAACCAAGTGGAAAATGCCACCCAATCCCTCCCACCGCCCAATCCCCACCCACCCCGGTTATCAAACTTGCCCCGTCTGTCCCATGGAAGAGGCACCCTCTCCTAAACTCTTTCAGGGCAAAGCAGGCCATGGAGCCCACTCTCATCTTAGCTGCCACAGACGACCAGGTGAGCACCGTGCCCTGACTTAGTCCAAGAGCAGGTGGCATGGGAAGGCCAGAAGGGACGGGAGGAGCCATCGAATTAATTACTTGCCAGACGGCCACGCTAAATGCCTTTTGTTTGGTTCCGGGACAGAGCATCTGCGGCATGAGAAAGAGGGAGCTGGGAGGAGATTTAAGGTTTGCGTGGGCTCAGGTTTGCACGGGTGACTGTAATTACCGCATGCAATCACGCCCAGGTTTAAGCAACTAGGGTATAATTAAGGACTAGCACTGGGAAGCTACGGCCTACCGAGAGATCTTGGAGTCGTAGCAGACAGCTCACTGAAAATGTCGAGACAGTGTGTGACTGCAATCAAAAAGGCCAATGCTGTGCTGGGGATTATTAGGAAGGGTATTGAAAACAAGTTAGCCAGTATCATCATGCCCCTGTATAAATCGATGGTGTGACCTCATTTGGAATACTGTGTGCAGTTCTGGTCACCACACCTTAAAAAGGATATTATAGCTTTGGAAAAAGTGCAGAAAAGGGCAACTCGAATGATAAAAGGGTCGGAACACTTTCCCTATGAGGAAAGGCTAAAGCGCTTAGGGCTCTTTAGCTTGGAGAAACGACGGCTGAGGGGTGACATGATTGAGGTTTACAAGATTATGCATGGGATAGAGCAGGTAGAGAAAGAGGTACTTTTCTCCCTTTCTCACAATACAAGAACTCGTGGGCACTCCATGAAATTGCTGAGCGGTCGGATTAGAACGGATAAAAGGAAGTCCTTCTTCAGCCAAAGAGTGATGAACACATGGAATTCACTGCCACAGAGGGTGGCGGCGGCTACAAGCATGGACGGCTTCAAGAGGGAATTAGATAAGCATATGGAGCAGAGGTCCATCGGTGGCTATTAGCCACAAGGTATAGACAGGAGCTCTCGGTCTGGGGCAAGCGATGCTCTGTATTCTTGGTGCCGGGGGGGGGGCAACAGTGGGAGGGCTTCTGGAGTTCTGGCCCCACTGCTGGACCTCCTGATGGCACCTGGTATTTCTGGCCACTGTGTGACCGAGTGTTGGACTGGATGGGCCACTGGCCTGATCCAGCACTGGCTTCTCTCTTCTGTTCTTAATTTTATTTATTTATTTATTTATTTATTTATTTATTTTTCGCATTTATATCCCGCCCTTTCCCGGAGGCTCAGGGCGGCTAACAGGGGCACCAAGTGCCAATTAAAACAATATCATATAGTTTAAAATATAGTTAAGTGGAGCAATTAGCTGGTGCCGCTGCCAGGGACCTCATGAAGTCTCCCCTTTGGCCGTTTCAAAGAGAGACAGAGGAGGTTTCTGGTCCTGAAGGTTACCCGAGGAGGAGCACAGCTTTAATTGGGGCGGCTGTGCCTGGGCGTTACTCCCTGTACTGCTTTCTTCTGCTTCAGGGGAAAAGGCAGGGTTATAAATGTGTTACAAACTGTTTTACACCGCCGGGGAGCAGCCCCGTGAGAGTCCAGGTGGATGCCTTTTTCCAGGCCGACACCACAGAGCCTTTGAATGGGAGAGGGCCAGGTGTACCAAAGGCCCAGAATCCTCGGCAGCGTTCTGCGGCAGCCCTGCTGGAGCTCCTTAGGAGCCAAGCCCCTCACGTCAGAAACGGCGAAAGAACTGCAGGGGGCTCTCAGCACATCTTCCCCCCTCTCTACTGCCAGATCACCCTCTTCTACACAGAGGTTTATGACACCTTCCACTTTAAACACTTTAAATACAAGTTTATTTAAAACAACACCGGGGGGACAGGGTTGTATACAGGGAGTGAATGACTTGTTCAGTCTTTCTTTTGTTCCTTCCCCACCCCTTTTTAACTCTGGACTGCTCTTAGGTCTTTTGGTGTAGTGGTGTAGCGTTTGGTGTCGTGGTTAAGTGCGCGGACTCTGATCTGGGAGAAGCGGGTTTGATTCCCCCACTCCTCCACTTGCAGCTGCTGGATGACCTTGGGCAAGCCATAGTCCTGTCAGAGCTGTCCTTGAAAAAGAGCCGTTTCTGTCAGAGATCTCTCAGCCCCACCCTCCTCACAGGGTGTCTGTTGTGGAGAGGGGAACGAAAAGCAGTTTGTAAGCCACTCTAAGACTCCTTCGGGTAGTGAAGGGCGGGGGTATAAATCCAATCTCTTCTCTTCTTCTTCTAGTTTTCTTCCAGACCACACACTTCCTGCACACTCCGTCTTTTATATCTCTGTTCTATCGAAGGCTCTCCCACAGTCTAGCGTCTCCTTAACCTGCTTCCCTTGCAGTTGGGTCCCTAACTAGGACTGTATAACTTTCCCCAACAGGATTTCTTATAGAGGAGCGCTATGTGTGAGTTATACACCAGGAGTTTCTCTGATTAAACTCCTCAGCCGCTGACAGGGTCCACTAGAGATGTGAAGGCCCGGGAAAAACCCGTTTTTTTCCTGAAGCCTTTTTTGGTTTTTTCCAGAAAAGTTGGAAAAATTGAAAAAAGGGGAAAAAATTGATTATGGAACATTTTATTTTAACATGATGAATAAAATATTTTAAGACAAGGTGTTCAAATATTTTCCAAATCATTTCTAAAAAATACGTATGGTATCAGATTGATCTAATTTCTGCACACTGAGGACAAGCAAGTCCTAGGTTACCAACTGAACTCTCCAATGCAAGAACAAGATGCATTTCTTCCTTTAGGAGGTATTGTCACAAGAAAAGAAAAAGGTTTCAGTTTTGTTTTTGCGTGTGGGTGGGTATTCTGTTTGTAATAACTGTTTGGATACACTATATTTTTAATATGCTAGTTGTGATAATTTCATGCCAAGTAAAAATGTCCATAAGTCATATTTTATGTTCCTAAAGTGACAGAATGACTTTCAATCTGGAAAAGAAAAAAGAAGTGCTAATGTAGCACTTCTTTCAATTTTTCCAAAAATTTCAGTTTTTTCCGGAAAAACCCGGAAAAAAAACAGGGTTTTTTCTGAGCTTCAAAATTTCCGGAAATTTTACACCTCTAGGGTCCATGTTCTCTCTCCCCCCTCCGAGAACACCCTTTCTCCCCTTCCTCTTCTGGTCAGCAGTCAGCCATTAACCACCTTTTCCAACCCTTTCCCCCTTCCCCCCAGTTCAAAACTGAAGATTCCAAAACCATTACCTCTCTCTCTCTCTCTCTCTCTCTCTCTCTCTCTCTCGGGTCATGTGACCACTCAGCTGCAGGCTACCTTTCGAGCAGCTGCCTATGCTTGTAAACCTTTGCTCTGAAATTAAGCTTTCACTAAAACTCAAAGATTTAAGGGCAGATACAGGCTACTCTGTGCCGAAAAAAAAAGGAAGCCATTCCAGATAATCATCATCGTCGTCGTATGGCACTGTGTGTAGTATAGCCAGGAGATGCTAAGATTGCCTGGCATCCAGAAGTTCTAGCTCTTTCCGTGCCGTGCACCACCAGGTGAAGAGCTAGACTTGGTTTTTTAAGGCAAGAGACGTTTTAGAGGTGGCTGGCCATTGCCTGCTTCTGCATCACGACCCTGGTATTCCTTGGAGGTCGCCCTTCCAAGTGCTAGCCAAGGCCGACCCTTGCTGAGCTTCCGAGATCTGACGAGATCGAGATCAGGCTAGGCTGGGCCATCGAGGTCAGGGGAGCCACTCCAGAATCAAGCTACTATCTTCTCATGTTCATTCCCTATCACGTTCTCTCTGCTCTGAGCCTCGCCGCGAAACGACCACACAGGCAAGAAACAAATCAATGACTGTGAGGATGAGGTGCAGAAGACACCAAACAGCTGCAGCCTTGCCAAGCACGGTCTTGGTCCCAGCTGCTCTTTAGGGTCAAGAGCAATGCTCCCTCTAAGCTGTGGGAGAGTCTTGTGAGCAAAAATTCTACTTGGTGAGCGACTGGCATTAAAGTGGTGAGCGAGCAACTTGGCTGCTGCATCAATTAGTGTCCCCTGGAGCCCTCCTTCCTGAGCGAAGGCAGAAATGTGTGAGCCGGAGGCTAAAAAACTGTGAGCGAGCTCACACTCACTCAGCTTAGAGGGAACAGTGGTCAAGCGTCACCTGCACTGGCTCGCTGGCGTCAGAACCCACAGCTAACAACGAAGTACACGCATTCAGGAACGGTTATACTTTTATTGCAAAGTTATAGATGCAGTAACAGAGGCACTGTTAAGAATGGCCACAGCCAATAGAGCATAATAGGATGTAGGGTATTCGTATGCACACACCCCCCCATGGCATTGGCCAATTAGGGACCCTCCCGCGCGCGGGATAAGTCAGGCAACTGTTAGGTGGCCACAGCTGAGAACCAGAAGTCTCTCCCGGTACATAGGAGCCCTCCAGACAACACAACCTCCTCCTGCACATCTGTAGAGATAAGCATTTCGGCAAAGGCAGAACAGCAGGGATAGGAATGCAATAGCAATTCACAAGACACAGAATGAACTCCCCAACCCCCATGGCAGCATAGCTGACAGCTGGTGGGCCCAGACTGTTCCTCTGGGGCCCTGCATTCTGCTGTGGTGCCGCGGGTCACAAAACCCAAAGCCCGGACAGGAACTCCCCAGCAACTCACCAAGTAGTCATCTGGCCGGATGCCGAAGAGCTCCCGGAAATAGCGGAAGGCGACGGGGGCGTAGGTCTTGAAGCGGAAGTCGTTGTAGTGATGGGCCGGCGTGAGGTTGCTGCCTTCGCTGGAGCGGAAGAGGAGAAAGTGAGCACCCTCATGCCCCTTTAAAAGCCCACCCCCCCCTCCAGAAGCCTGAGGCCTGTCAGAGACCACGTGCTTTCAGGCAACGCTTTGTGCATCAGCTCTTTTACCAAAGAAGCTTTGCATTCTAGGGGAACGTGTGGCCGGCACACTCGGAACATAAAGGGGGACGCATTACCCCACGTGTACTGAGAATTATGCCCTCCCTGGAACACCATTTCCTGCACACGTCAAGACACGCCGCCTGTCGGGAAACTATCATCCTAGAACAGACTTTGAGAGCTAATCAGAGCTTTTTTTGTAGAAAAAGCCCAGCAGGAACTTATTAGCATAATAGGCCACACCCAACAGCAGAAACTCATTAGCATATTAGGCCACACCCCCATGTTTTCCCTTGGCTTTCCCGCAGGGAACCTGGGCAAGCCCCCCCTTGAAGGGAAGGCAGTTTAAACTGCCTTCCCTTGGCTTGCCTGGGCACTCCGTGGCTACGGGGAGCCCGGGCAAGCCAGCCCTTGGACAGGCCGGAGAAGGCACGGGGAGGCATATAAATGGGGGGTGGGTCGCTTTCCAGGCCTTCCCTCTACAGCCACACATGCAGAGGCTTTGTCTGTAGTGGGCGTGGCCAGCTCTGAAGCCAGCCGGAACTCCGTCCCTGTGCGTTCCTGCCCAAAAATAGCCCTGGAGCTAATATATATTTTGTTAGCTGGCTTGAGGGTGCAGAGATGAGGCAGGGCCACCGGGAACGGCTGTAGCTCAGTAGAAGAGCCTCTGTTTCGCACGCGGAAGATCCCAGGTTCAATCCTTGACCTCTCCACTTAAAAAGGACCAGGCCCCAATGGTTTTAATGCTGACAGCAGCAAAAACATTAATTGCACGATTATGGAAATCAGAAAAGATCCCAACCCTTAAACAATGGTTTCCTAAACTATGGGTGAGGACTATGGGACCAGTTAGCATCTGAACTGCTTCGCACAGAACACCCTTTGAAAAACCTCCGGCTTCGTAGAAAAACGGTATACCTTTTTTTGACATACGTTACAACAGTGGACAAAGACGTGAGTGCCTTACCTGCTAGATATGTCGAGTTTATATTTTATTAAATCGTTTTAAAAACTGTTATTTAATTGTTGCTATAATCTTTATCATACATTGTTAACTTTCTGTACAAGACCCCATAGCTTGCTTGTTTTTCTGTGTGTAATACTTTCGATAAAATTTATTTATTTATTTATTTATTACCTTAGATTTACTATACCGCCCTAACCCCCGAAGGGGTCTCTGGGCGGTTCACATTTTTCGTTCTAAGAACTGATTATTCCCTATCTTGGGCCACAACTAGGATTGGGGGGGGGGGCCCCTGTGTTTTTTTAAAGGACCAGGCCGTAGGTGATTTGAAAGACCTCTGCCTGAGACCCTGGAGAGCCACTGCCAGTCTGAACGGACCATCCTGACTTTGATGGACCAGACATCTGATGCTCTATAAGGCAGCTTCATGTGTGAGCAAATATTTAAATTCCAAAGAATAAGAGAAAAAAGGTCTCCCTCACCCCATGGTTGCATGGCACAAAGCTCCTGCCCCAAACCATGCAGCCTCCATCACTCCCCCTGGAGACGGAAAACATGAATCTGCGAATCTGCCTGACACAAAGTTAAGCCATCTGTTCCTGTAGCTCTGCATTCTGATCAGAAGCAGCTTTGGCAAGGTCTCAGTAGAAAGCATGAAAAACCGCTGCCTGAAGTGACAGAAAGTGAATGAAAGATACATAAAAGTAATATTTGAATACCAAGTTCAGTAACACGATAACCATATAGTAAGATAAAGCCAAGGTATCCTTGCAAGAAAGAAAGTCCCCAAAGTATTCAGTGTGTCTCACTCCTATTGTATGATAATTCCATAGTCCAACTTGACATTCATTCATGGTAGGGTGGACTGAGATATAGTTCCTGGAGAATCCACATAGTCTTGAAATGATGTGTTGTCCGGATACAAGCTGCCGCGTTTCGAATGATTCTTTTTCAAAACCAACAGGCTACGGTGGGATTCAGTCTCAGCAGTAGCATCATCAGAAGCCAGTTTATCCAATCACAAAGGATCATGTGTTATTGAACTTGGTATTAAAATATTACTTTTGTATATCTTTCATTCACTTTCTGTTACTTTAGCCAGCGGTTTTTCGTGCTTTGTACTAATTACAGGGCTCTTTTTGTAGAAAAAGCCCAGCAGGAACTCATTAGCATAATAGGCCACACCCAACAGCAGAAACCCATTAGCCTATTAGGCCACAACACTGACAGCACAGCTCATTAGCATATGAGGTCACACCCCCATGTTACCAGAAGTGTGGTCATCCAGCCACACCCACCTTTTGCTTCTTATTCTGTTTACCTTGTTTGTCGTCAAAACCCAGGGCTTTTTTTGTAGCAGGAACTCCTTTGCATATTAGGCCACACACCCCTAATGTAGCCAATCCTAATGAGTTCCTGCTGTTGGGTGTGGCCTGTTATGCTAATGAGTTCCTGCTGGGCGTGGCCACCTCGGGAGCCAGCCGGAACTCCGTTCCTGTGCGTTCCTGCCCAAAAATAGCCCTGCTAATTCATATATGCAGGTTCCCCTTCTTCTTCTTGTTATTCTTCGCAAGGTCTCAGGCAGAGCACGGCGTTCTTTCCTGCTGGGAAATGAATGGGGGGTGTGTGCAACACCTGTTCCCTGCGACCGAGGCAAGACCACTCCCCATGAAAGCCTGGAAAACCTGACCTGACCTTTGCCAGTTTTAGCACGGAAGGAACTATTTCCCCTGCTGGCTCGCCACCCCTCCCGCCATCCCCCGTGCTTGAGAAGCCAGTAACTGAGACGGGCGAACGCTCACCTGGGGAAGAAGATGCTCTCCACTACGTAGAAGTCCTGCATGAGGACATCGCGCTCTGGCTTGGTGCTCAGGCTTCCCACCGTGTGGGTGATCCCGAGCTGGATGGCGCCTTTGAGGGCGGACGATGTTGTCTGGAGGGCGGCAAAGACAAAGAGCGGGGGGGGGGGTCACACACCTCTCTTTTGCAAAGGCAGATGAAAAGGTTCCTTTCAGGAGGGGAACACGGCTCTGCGGAAGCCATTCCCACCAATCGGGTGGGGCTTTCTTTTTGTTGTTTTACTTTTAAAGCTGGTTTTATATTCCTTTATACAATTCGGTTGGCCCTTGTTTTTGCAAACCATCTCGGAAAGGGCTGTTTAACGGCAAGGCACAAAGACGTTTCGAAAACCCAGAAAGGGATCAGATTCCCTCTTCCTAAACCTGTATCTCAAAGTCAGAGTCCAGCGGCACCTTTAAGACCAAACCTCCTAAGGAAGTTTAGAAAACGAATAGAGGGCCAAAAGTTAAAAACCTAAGAAGTGTGCAAAATAGTGTTTATTACAAAGACAAATAAAAACCTAGCAGGGGCCCAAATAAAGCCGTATAAAATGTACAAAGTTGCAAATACACAGAAAAGAGAACAGTGTATATGACCTGACCCATTTCAGCTCACAAGAGCCTTCTTCAGAGGTCAAATAGTGCAAAACATAATAAGCAACAGAGTCCCTGTGACACATGTAAGGCAATTAACAATAAATAAATAAATAAAATAGGACCAAAATTGGAATTTCCAATATGGAATTGAATGACACATCAAAAAGTTTCTATTTGGGCTCACAAACATATCCGGCCTTGCATCAGAAGTTGTTGTATGAGCTGGAAATATTATGTACCTTCCAGTTTAGGTCCTAAGAGTGCAACTAGAATTGCCTTGTCAGGGACAATGTGCCATCAATATGTAACAGGGTTAGGGCACCTTTAAGACCAACTAAGTTCTATTCAAGGCGTGACCTTTTGTGTGCAAAGCACACTTCGTCAGACACGGTCGAGGTTTACAGGATTATGCACGGGATAGAGCAGGTAGAGAAAGTAGTACTTTTCTCCCTTTCTCACAATACAAGAACTTGTGGGCACTCCATGAAATTGCTGCGCAGTTGGGTTAGAATGGATAAAAGGAAGTCCTTCTTCACCCAAAGAGTGATGAACACTTGGAATTCACTGCCACAGGAAGTGGCAGCGGGTACAAGCATGGACAGCTTCAAGAGGGAATTGGATAAGCATATGGAGCAGAGGTCCATCAGTGGCTATTAGTCACAAGGTATAGATAGGAGCTGCGGTGGCTCAAGTGGTTAAGACGCTGAACTGCAGGCTGTGGAAGGTCAGTAGTTCAGCAGTTCGAGACCCGGGTGCCGCATGACGGAGTGAGCTCCCATCTCTAGTTCCAGCTCCTGCCAACCTAGCAGTTTGAAAGCAAGAAATTGCAAGTAGATAAATAGGTAGCACTTCGGTGGGAAGGTAACAGTGTTCCATGCACCTTGGTCTTTAGTCATGCCGGCCACATGACCACGGAAACGTCTTCGGACAGCGCTGGCTCTTCGGCTTTGAAACAGAGATGAGCACCGCAACCCTAGAGTCGGATTCGACTGGCTTTCGAGCAAGGGAACCTTTACCTTTATAGATAGGAACTCTCCATTTGGGGCAAGGGATGCTCTGTGTTCTTGGTGCTTGGGGGTGGGGGGGCAACAGTGGGAGGGCTTCTAGTGTCCTGGCCCCACTGCTGGACCTCCTGAGGGCCCCTGGTATTTTTGGCCACTGTGTGACCCAGAGTGCTGGACTGGAGGGGCCACTGGCCTGATCCAACGTTGGCGTCTCTTATGTTCTTAATTATCTGACGAAGTGTGCTTTGCACATGAAAGCTCACACCTTGAATAAAACTTTGTGGGTCATAAAGCTGCTACTGGATTCTAACTTTGTTCTACTGCTTCAGACCAACACAGATGCCCACTTTGATCTAAACCTGTTATCTATCCCTCTTTCTCTGACATGCGGCTTGCTAATTCCCTCCACTTACACTTGAGGAGACCCCTCAGCACTACCTTTTGTGCTGCAAGGGCAGACGGAAGACAAAGCTCTTGGCTACGGCGGCTGTTTCTCATGCCTTGGGCGCGTGGATCCTTTTGGGGTTATTTCTTCAAAACACACACTCCGCCATCTTTGTACCACAAAGAGTCCCCCCCCTCCCCCCAAATGCTGTGTTTCTCAGGCACCTAACTGGTTATATTGCAAAACTACTTAAAGAAAGTAAAGAAAGAGGGTGCAGAAGAGAGCGATGAGGGTGATTGGGGGTCTGGAGACTGAGCCCTTCCAGGAAAGGCTGAGGGCCCTGGGAATGTTTAGTTTGGAGAAGAGGAGATTGAGAGGGGGGGGGGACGTGGCTGCTCTCTTTAAATATCTGAAAGGCTGTCATTTGGGAGGAGAGCAAGGAGCTGCTCCAGTTGATGGCAGAGGATAGGACCCGAAGCAATGGGTTGAAATCACATGCAGAAAGGTATCGGCTGGAGATCAGGAAAAACTCTTTCACGGTCAGAGTGGTTCAGTGGTGGAATTGGCTGCATAGGGAGGTGGGTGAGCTCCCCTTCACTGGCAGCTTTCAAGAAGAGGCTGGATGGATATTGGTCAGGGAGGCTCTAGGCTGGTCCTGCATTGGGCAGGGGGTTGGACTAGATGATCTGTATGGACCCTTCCAACTCTCTAGGATTCTAGGATTCAAAATACAAACTATACGAGCAGGGGTCATTTTGCAGAAAAAAAGAGGTGCAGGAGCTCATTAGTATAACTCATTAGCATAACTTATTTGCATATGCCACACCCCCTGACATCCCCGGAAGTGTGTCAGAAGGCAACACCCACCGCTCAGGCTCCACTGGACTGTTTTAGATTGCTAGCTATGGGGGGGGGGAGGACGTGCAGATCTGTCCTCACAGAGGGGGAGAGCTTGTGCCTGAATAAAACTTGGTCTTAAAGGTGCCGCTGGACTGTTTTGGACCAGGGGGCCGGGGGCTCTGCAACTTACCTGGCTGCTTCTTGCTCTGACTGAGGGCTGCTGGGAGCAGGGGGTGGGGCTTGTTGCATGTGCCCGCCCCCTGGGCTCTTTACTGCCGGAGCTCCGCTCCTGTGCGCTCCTGCAGGAAATGTCCCCTGTATACGAGGCTCTTGACATCCCATACTGCAGTAAATTAGCCACATGTCCTATGGGGGCCAGTGTTGTACAGTGACTAAGGTGTCATACTAGGATCTGGGAGGCCCAGATTTAAACACTTTAGGCTGATCCTGCACCGAGCAGGGGGTGGGACTAGATGGCGTGGCCCCTCCCAACTCTGTGGTTCTACGAATCCCTGCTCTGCTATGGATGCTTGCTGGGCGACCCTGGGCCAGTCACACACTCTCAGCCTCACCGACCTCACAGGATCGTTAGAAGGACAAAATGGAGGAGAGGCGAAGGACGCCAGCGGCTTTGGGCGCCATTGGAGATAAATTAAGTAAAATGATTTTTTTTAAAAAATAATTAAAATAAAACGCAGCCGGGAAAGACAATGGAAACGGACCGGTGAATTTGGAATGTTATGATTCCACCAAAAACAGTGAATGTCTGCCTGCACGCACACGAAAGCTATAAGGGATCTTTTTGTAGCAGGTACTCATTTGCATATTAAGCGACACACCCCTAATGTAGCCAATCCTCCAAGAGCTTACAGTAGCTCCTGTAAGAAGAGCTCTGTAAGCTCTTGGAGGATTGGCTACATTAGGGGGTGTGTGGCCTAATATGCAAAGGAGTTCCTGCTATAAAAAGAGCCCTATAACCCAGAATTAAACCTTTTTGGTCTTAAAGGTGCCACCGGACTCAAACTCTTGTTCTATGAAGGTCAAGGACAGAGAAGCAGGCAGAGGAGGAGAAGGAGGCGACGGTGGTTGGATTTATACCCTGCCCTTCACTACCCGAAGGAGTCTCAGAGCGGCTTCCAAACTCCTTTTCCCTTCCCCTCCCCACAACGGACACCCTGTGAGGTAGGTGGGGCTGAGAGAGCTCTTGACAGAAACGGCTCTTTCAAGGACAGCTCTGAGAGAACTTGTGACTGGCCCAAGGTCATGCCAGCAGGTGCATGCGGAGGAGTGGGGAATCAAACCTGGCTCTCCCAGATTAGAGTCCGTGCTCTTAGCCACTATGCCAAACTGGCAATCATCTAGGCAGGGCTTTTGGGATAGAAAAAGCCCAGCAGGACCTCATTAGCATATTAGGCCACACCCCTGAGAGCAGCTGCAGGGAGCCCGGGCAAGCCCTTGGAAGGAAGGGAAGGTATTTTAAACTGCCTTCCCTTGGCTTGCCCGGGCACCCCTTCCCTCTGTAGCCACGCGCACAGAGGTTTTGGCTGTAGTGGGCGTGGCCAACTCTGAAGCCAGCCTGAACTCAGTTCCTGTGCGCTCCTGCCCAAAAACAGCCCTGCATCTAGTTATGGTTCTTTTGGTTCTGGCCCCTGAAAAGCCCCAGAACACCATGGTTGCCTTCCGGGATCCGAGTTTCAGCCAGGCAAGGCAACTCTTATGCTCTTAGAATGGTTGGGTTTCTCCTGTGTTCTTATGGATGGGCCGCTGGCCTGATCCAACATGGCTCCTCTTATGTTCTTATGATGTCAAAAGCCCTTCTTCCTGTGCCTTCTCCATGTGCAACCGGCGGCACTGTTTTGTGTCTTTGCTGAAGGGGAGCTAACACCACACCTCAAAAAGGATATTATAGCCTTGGAAAAAGTGCAGAAAAGGGCAACTCGAATGATAAAAGGGGCGGAACACTTTCCCTATGAAGAGAGGTTAAAGCGCTTAGGGCTCTTTCGCTTGGAGAAACGATGACTGAGGGGTGACATGATCGAGGTTTATAAGATTATGCATGGGAAAGAGCAGGTAGAGAAAGAGGTACTTTTCTCCCTTTCTCACCATACAAGAACTCGTGGGCACTCCATGAAATTGCTCAGCGGTCGGGTTAGAATGGATAAAAAAGGCCTTCACCCAAAGAGTGATTAACACTTGGAATTCACTGCCACAGGAAGTGGTGGCGGCTACAAGAATGGACGGCTTCAAAAGAGAATTAGATAAGCATATG